TCTTTTCTATCCAAGCTAAATAGTCAGCAACTCGAGTACGATTCATGAAAGGGTTCTCGTCAAAAGCTTCATAATATCTACAACATTAATGTGTGATAATTAAATTAATTATCATAATGTATTAGCATAACATTATACCTATACACAATATTTTACTTTAAATATTAAATAAATGTAAAATAATGAAATAAATTGCAAATATTTAAGATATCTTTTCTTTTATCTTTATTTCTTAGCTGTTACAACAATATTTTATAAACATTACTCTGTTAAGCAGCATATTTAATTTAACTTTGCACCCACGATTTTTATATATCCACTGTGCTTATGCTTACATACTCAAAAAAGATTATTTAGCAAATTTATTGGATCATAAGCAAATTTTGTTGAATAAAGACAAGAATTCTTATACTTCATAATTTCCTCTAATTCAAATTTTGAGCGGGTAGATAACAAGGATGAGTCATCGTCAACCTTGTACTCAACTGTAGTAGTGTGGTGGGGAGAAGCACTGACTGACACCAGTAGCATGTCGCAATCATTCTGTCGCATATGAAGACATCATAGCCTCTAAGTGATATTTGGATTCCGATGGACTAAGTTGTTCAATTTGAGATCTATATATTTTTTATATGAATCTTGAAATATACTTTAATTATGGAAATACACTGTATAGTCTGGGCAAATCATTGCAAAACCAACTACGACGGTAATACAATCAAATCCTACTAAAAACTTTTATTGCCATTAAAACTCAGCAAGGCACAGTAGGATGTTTGCAAAAAGGTACCAACATTTCTGAATCTTAGATTGTTGCTAATTTTACTATTGTCTCAAACCTAATTGAAAATTGATTTCTTATAAACTTAGATACCGTTAAATATTATACAAGTGAGTGTTATCTAGAGAAAAATGTGAACTTCAACGAAAGGAATAATTCTAGGAAAGTAGATCCAGAACTGGAGAAGCTGAGAAACGAAGTGGAGAGACCACCAGACTTAGATACGACCATTGCGGATATCCAGAGAGAATCATCGCGCGTTCACGCTGCGTACTTGTTCGAGCACATTGGCAAGGCTACACTGCAGAGACTATGCTTGCTGCTGAGCTCCACAGCAACAGGGAAGATTTACGACGGATGGCAGGAGTTTGCAGCACACATGGGCTTAACGATGGAACAGATACGCGTAAGATTATTAGAGAAATGACAATTATAATAAGTATGCAAACAAATTCAAATCATACATATATTATAGAATAATAATAATAAGTACAATATTATACCGTCATTTTATTGCTTAGTGCATAGATTATGACTTCAAAGGGCTCCAGGATCCAACGTATTACGTGCTTTTGACTTACGTGCAGTCTCCGGAGGCAACAATGGACAAAATTCTGAGTGGTTTGCAAAAAATGCAACGACTCGATATAATAAATCAAATTAAGGATCATGTGCACGATCTAGTCAATGTTGCGTCGCAACATGTCATAAGCCATGATGGTAGAGTAAAGAACAGTAGCATGTTTTTCTTGGCGTTACAGAATAAATTATGGATTAAAGTCAAGTTTGGAAGATAAAGCTCCAAAAATGTAATAATTATATAC